TTTATTTATGTATAAGAAAACAAAAAAAACATTGGATTACTTGATGCAGGAAAAACATCAAATACGTAGTTTTTATAAGATAAAAAAACACGAACAACCTCAATGCAGCTTATAACATAATTATTATTATAATCGTGAATTTTTCTAATTGTAAGAATAATTTATTGATACATAAAAATTAGGTAAAACTAATTCTCACACAAAAAATCAAAAAATTTATTTAGTATTTTACTAGGATACCAAACTCGCTTGGGTCCACTTGCTCGGCTGGGCTAAAAAGAAATAAAAAAATAAAAAAATAAAAATTATTTTTTTATTTAAATTCTTATTTTAAATTTGGTAAAGAATTTCGATGTAACCCTGAGGCAAAAGTTGTTCAGTTTATTTTTTTGCATAATTTTTTTTTCGGATGTTTTGAATTTTTATTTTTTTTTCCTTGGCTGGGACCTTCCCTGATCCTTGCACGGTCGGGCCGCCCGGGAAAATAAGGTGACGCGGGCGGCTCGACTGGTAGCCTAGTTATTTTATTCATAATGTATAGTAAAAACTTTGTGTCATTATGTTTTTCAATTTTATGTCACATTAACGTTTTTGATAATTGGATAACAATATGATAGGCTACTAGCTGGGTCGCCCAGGTCACCCTATTTCCCCCGGCGGCTCGACCGTGCAAGGACCAGGAAAGGTCCCAGCCAAAAATAAAAAATAAAAAAAATCCAAAAACGAACTACGTTATGCAGAAAAATAAATAGAACAACTTTTGCCTAAGTGTCACATCGAAATTCTATCCAAATTTAAAATAAAAATTTTAATTTTATTTTTTTATTTTTTTTCTGCCCAGTCGGGCAAGTGGACCTGAACCACTTTGGTAGCATAGACAATATGTTAATTATGAGAAAAAACGTGAATCAAGCAGAAGATAATTACTTCATTTTCACAATTAAAAACTCATTTTTATCTTTTATTCATAATTCGAAGTTCAAATGTTGGCATCACCATGTTGTGCTCACTCACAATTTTTTCTTCTTCATATTTCTATTCGTAAAAAACGGTGGTATCAAGGTAACTAGATACAAACTAAGTTGAGGATATTTACATATGTTGCACATTTTTTTAATGAATGTCAAAAATATTTTATATTACACTAACAAGAGACAATTCAAGTTTGACTTTTTTGGGGATTTATTTTATGTTATACCAGATAAACTATATATTTAAAAAATAAAAAGGTGAACAGTACAATAAAAATATTATCCTAGGCAGGCAACTGGCCCCGGGCCACTCTGGTAGCCTTAAAAAAAAAACTGCAAAGCAATTATGTTATGCAAAAAAATAAACTTAAATAACTCTTACCTCAAGGTCACATCAAAATCATTTATTATTTTTAATTCATTATTATTATTATTTTTTGTCTCGGACCACTGTTGTAGCCTATAAAAATTGTGCTTAAATTTTTATTTTTATGTTAAATTTGGTAAAGAATTTTTATGTGACCTCGCAACAAACTTTGTTCTATTAATTGTTTTTTTAAATATAGTTTTTTTTTTTTGCATTCAGGTTTGTCCCAAATGCGTTTCTAAGGGGGGACGAACGGTCGACCATTCAACCCGTCTCGTTCGGGTCAGGCTTCGAACGTCAGTAAGTGTGATACAAGATAAAAACTATTTCAATATTGTGTAAGAAATTGAACACCATGTCTCATCGATGGTGATGAATTTTAATTTATATGGTAAAAAATAAAAATAAAAAATCCATTGATTAGGTTACTAGAGTGGCCCAAGTCAACTTGCCGGGTCGGGCATAAAACAAATAAAAACATAAAAATATTTTTTAATTAAAATATTTATTTTCAAATTGGTAAAGAATTTTGATATAACCCTGAGACAAAAGTTATTCAGTTTATGTTTCTGCATAACTGTTACGGACTCCGCCAGGGCTCGATCCCTGATCTTTCTTTTTGCTGTTTCGGTTGCATCCCGTTTTCGGCCTGGCAACCCTTTTCCACACCCCTCCTTTGGTACCGTAGGATTTTGGACAACTGGCATCATGCTGCAATTCGGACGCCACTTTCAAATACCACATTTTTCAGTTTTGCCCTCGAAGGCTTTTTCAGACATGCCCTTGGTACCGTACGTGTCACCGGTACTTATACCGGCTCCCCGTACGGTACAGAGACCAGTCTCGTACCAGTTTTCTGCTGCTGTGCTCGTACTCAGTGGGACTTGCTAATTCGACATTCGGAATCCAAGACTTAGACTTTGTCTTGCCACTGTGTCTGCGTCCGACCCTTGGTCGTGTCGAGTGAGTGAGTGTGTGTGTGTGCTCTCACTCTCTCCCTCCCTCTCTCCTCTCCCCCGGCTCTCCCTCATCCTAACGCCTGTCACACTGGTATCGGAGCGGTTCGAACCCGCCTGACTCACCCTGCTTCGTCGCCATGACCTGGCCATCATCAGCATCATCGTCGTGATCATCGTCACAATGCCACGTCATCGTCACGATCGTCGCCGTTGTGCCACGTCATCACCGTCATTGTCGTGATCGTCGTCGTCATGCCATACATCATCATCGCGATCGTCGTCGTCGTACGTGACCATCGTCGTGCCCATCGTCCTCGTCACTGCGCCGCGCCGTCCTTGTCATTGCCGCCGCGCAGATAAGTAATCAACGACAATTTTTTTTTTTTTTTCTCCTTATTTTTCTTCCTCGTTTTTTTTCCTTCTTCTTCTTTAAATTTTCTTCTTCTTCTTCTTCTCCTCCTCTCCCGCCGTCGCGATCCCGACTACGAT